ATTTATTGGTTTAGTGTATGTGGCTATTGTTTGGAATGAACAATACTAAGGAGGGGTAGTGTTGCGTTAGCGAGATCACGTGACTATTTTGACGCCACCTATTTTCTAGAAGTATCTTGTTCCTTCGTGAATGCCCTAGCATTTACTAGATATATATTTCTCTGGTACATATATAAAAGACGCTCACAACGTGAGAATAATGTAAGGTGTGTGTGTAGACAGTGAGTAATTGAACTGCAGTCAGAGAGTATTATTGAGCACGTTCGTTGTTATAGCGTTTGTTTTAGCGCGATTGTTGAAATTAAGTGTATCCTAAAGTTATATTCGGAAAGAATAAACCAGTTTTATTAAGTAAGGACTTGTGTCGCTAAAGTTTCGTTGGAACGAAGTTACGAAAAGTTCATTAACAAATGGAGACGTAACAATAACTTCCCGTAACTTTCTCGGTATAACCGTTAGCCAGGTCGTCACTTTCCCATCTCCAGAGAAGAATACCATCTTAAAGCTTCAACTGGTCCCATTGTGCCCAATAGTTCTATGTCACAGGGCTTAGACTAGAAACCTTTTCCCAAGCAGGGCGCAAAACACTTGCTTTTATAAAATCGATTATTGGCTTCAAATATTGGTCTTTCTCCTGCTCTGATTTAATATCTCTACCTGGTTCCAGTTCACCATCATCAACTCCTTCAGTCACTTTGACTTCAGCTTGATGACACCTGGTTAGTTCAACCTCTCGTTTAACACTTCCTTGGTAGTAAGTAGTCCAATCCTAATATGCATTCGTCTTCAATGTCAGCCAAGTATACTTTGTGTCTGTCCTTTATACCCATGAGCTCAATAGTTACCCACACAGGTCCCCACAACCTTGCAGAATGTCCTGTCACACCACAAAGCTTCTGTATGGCTTCTGGTACTCTTTCGTGATCTAACACCTTGATGCTCACAAGGGTTTGCTGAGATTCAGAGTCTACGACAAAGTTGCACCCTTGGCCATCCAGCTTTCCTGTCACATAGACACTGTGCGTTCTTGGCATTTTACACCTAGTTGTTGGGACTTTCATGATGGGGTTGGTGAGTGTCTCTCAACACCAACCACTACTGGTCTCCTTGAGGCTGACTTGTTGGTAATATTCCTCTTACACTGGCTCCTCATATTTCCTTGCTTTCCACAGTTCCAACAACCTTTCTGGATACTAGCCTTTCCTGCTGTATCATCTTCCCTGTGTTGAAGTTGCCAGCATTGAGCTCTCTTGTGCCCAGGTTTGTTACAGTGCCAGCAAACTCCCTCAAACTTCTCTGGAACCTGCCCTTTTCTGGCCTTGAATCCAGATGACTGTACCAACCTCGGTACCTCTGTGCTGGACTTAACGTAGGATTCAAATTCAAGAGCTCTGGCCATTGCATTCTGCATGGTAGAGGGGTGTGCTTGCTTCACTTCTATCTTTAGTTGTGGACTGTCCAAGGCGTCTACAAACTGATCTCTCAGCAACAACTTGAGATCGGGTGGTGCAGTTGGGTAGGCCTTGTGTGCCATGCTTTCCAAGTCCTGTGCCAGCTCTTGCAGGCTCTCCCCTTCAGCACAGACTCTCATCCTAAACGTAGCCCTGTAGACTTCTAACTGATTTTGGGTTCCGTACCTGAGTTCTAGAGCCACTACAAGTG